TAGCTTTAAATAATCTCCATGTTTCCTTCCAGCTGACTTTTTTTTTTTTTTTTTTACATTAAAATGGTAGATAAAATGAAATCTGTCTTGGCCCAGTCCTCTTCCCATTCAGTTAAGCCCCTACTCGGTGGTATTCTCCTTGACTCTCACTTGAGAGCCCTAGAACTAGCTTCCCTATCAAGGCCAGCTTTAAAAGGATCTAGAACCAACCTCTGAAATTATGTTAGATTTTTGATACAGTGGCAGAGGGAAAAGAGCATTAGATTAGGATCTGTCAGGAGGCCCTAGGTCAAGCCTCAAGGGTTCGCTATTTGTCCTAAAATCTTGGGCAACTCACTTTCTTTGACATCATTTTATAGCCTCATAAATTCTAAGGCAATATGTTCTCCACATTGCATTTTATGCTTCATCTTCTTTAGAAATCCAAGGGTGGCTTGACTGAGGGGGAGCATTCTTTTAAAAGCTTGGTTCTTCAATGTTAGGAGCCACACCTTAGAGGTGTTTATCCACTCCACCTATGCAGAGATTGGCTTGGTTCCTAAATATAGTCACTGACACATTTACAATTGATGAAAAGACAAGGTGTTGTTTTTGTAACCACTCTGTTTTTTTTTTTTGGAAGCATAAACAATTTTCAATCTTCCTGAAGTTAGTTCTGTCATGTTTCACAGACTATCTGTGGGAAATCTTTTGCCTCTTATCACCTTGCTCAGCCTTGCTTATAAGCAGCAGATAAATGCCTTCTCATCTCTCATCTTGCTCTTTATGTTGCCTGTTGTTAAACAGGAGTTGTGAGGGAAAGAGTTTTGAGGTTACTGTTTCCGGTCTCCACACCGTTAGCTAGATTAGCTGCTAGGAAAGGCTTTGCAAAGCAAAGCACTAAATTCAACATCAAAACAACTTGTCAGTTCAGTAGAGACATGCCAGCCAAGCGCATAGGCTTTTAACACAGTAATCAAATACATTGATAGACTGACATTGTTTCTCTTTTAACCTAGTAGTTTTAAAGTAGGAAAACCACACACAAGGAGGAAAATGGAATCAAATGTTTGCAGGGAAAGGGCTAGGTATACTCTCAGCTTGATTTGGAAAACAGAAAGGAATCAAATAACAGCTAGTGTGGGGAAGATAAATATTTCCTTAGTTTCTTCTGAGTCTAGATATGGATTCCCAGAGATGCAGAGAGCCAGAATATGTATCCAAGCTAATTTGTGGTCAATTGCTTTGATTTATACTACACTGCCATATAGTGAGGGGCATGTCTTTCCCAAATGTTCCATTAAAAAAATTATTTATTATTTTTATTTTTTGTGTATGTGTGAATTGCCTGCATGTATGTAAGTGAACTCATGTTGTGCAATGCCCACAGAGGCAGAAGAGAGTGTAGGATCCCCTGGAACTGGAGTTACAGACAGTTGTTAGCTGCCATGTGGGTGCTGGGATTTGAACCCAGGTCTTCTGCAAGAACAGCCACTGTGCTTAACCGCTGGCCCATCTCTCCAGCCCTGCCCCCCCCCACACCAAATGTTCCATCTTAAGAGAAAATAAAAGAAGCTAGAGGTATTGTGCATGTTGGAAATGATAATTATCACATATGCTCAATGTCATTCAGAATAACTATTTACCCTTCTCTATTGCCAGAACTAAGCTCCTTCCACTTAGTGCCTCTGTACAAAGTAGATACAGATTTTGAAGTCCTATGAGATAGTTTCTTACTTGGACTTTTTTGAACTATTGGCATAAGTTAAGGTGGGACCAAATGCTAGAAAGGTTATAAATATTTTAAAAAAGAGGCCTTATCAGCTTGAATTCTAAGCTAAGAATCTGTTATCCATATATTAGCACAAAGAAAGCAAATAATCTCAAATGTAATATCTCTGTTTAAGGGTCAGCTAATTTAAAAATTATCTATGTTGACAAAGAAGAGGGAGAAAAGTAAACACCTTGTCTCGCTCCTTTTGATAGTTTTCAAACTCTTTCCCAGCAAAATTTTGGCATTGTTACAAAATAGAGTAGTTTCCATTTCCTTGCTCAGTGGCTGGTTATGACATCAACCATAGGAGCAGTGACCATGTAAAAGTTAGTTTTGGTACAGATGTCTTCAATTTCTGCTTGAGATAATTCTTGATTTGTAATGCTGAGGTCAAATGGACTTAGAAGATATCCAGCTGAACCTCAACAACACTGAGGATTGAACTTGGAGGCCCATGATTGACAGAAGGGAAAATCTATCTTCTAGTTTTCTTGTAATAGTGTATCTTGTCAAGGAAAACCATTTCAGAGGAGAAAGACTGCTGTTTGTTCCTTCTGAAGGCTTCCATCTTTTGTAATTATGATTCCTGAAACTGAAAATATATCTTCTTTTTATCTGGGATGTCTGAACTTGATCTCAGTTTCTGATCTGTCCATTCTGCTAGTACAACGAAGCAGAGAGGAAGTGATGTAGGCAAAGAGGAAAGCAGTTGCTTTGTTCCTTGTTTTCTGTGGCCAGAGGAAGTCTTAACTCCTTTTCTGTCTTACCATACTTTAGTCAATGTCCAGCTTTGCAAGTGTTAGCCTATGAACATTTCTCATTTTATTTACTTCTTACCAACCAGCTTAATCCTCTCACCTTTGGCTGAATTGTAGCATTACTCTGTCTACTCTCCACGGTCTCACTCTTGTACCCTCTATATTTACCTTCTCTGTTTTTGCTAATCTGATCTATTTAAATGAAAAGGTGTGTGCATCTACTTCTCTGCTTAAAAGCCTTCAAGAAGTCCCTGTCACTGGCTGGAGAGAATGCCAACTCTAATGGGGTGAGTTGTGCTTGCTCTGCCAAGGTTCATAGTAGCATTATTCATAATAACCATAAAAATATTGAGTGGAAAAGCAAAATGTATTATAGCCACATAACAAAATATTATACAGAGATAAACACAATGGAGTTCTGATACTTTTCATAACACATATGAAACTTGAAAACTGCTAAACATAAGAAGTCAGATAGAAAAAGCCACACATTTTATGATTTGATGCGTATGAAGTGTCCCAAATGGGCAGAGACAAGTAGATTAGTAGTTACCAGAGGTTGGAGGGAAGGAAGTGAGTGTTAATAAACATGAGGTTTCCTTTTTGTACAATAAAATTATTCTTCAGTCAGAGAGTGATGATCTCACAATTTTTTGAGTAGTAAAAACAAATATGAATTATATACTTTAAAAGGGTGAACTTTATGGTATGGGAATTACATTTCAGTAAAGTTGTTCCAAACCTCAGTGTCAACACTAATTGCACCCCCAACCTATACCAAATAGATCAGAATTTCTAGGAATGAGAGGTCCTGGAAATAGGTTTTCTTTTTTAAAAAAATTCTTGATGTTTAGAAGTACTGATAACTGTATGACAGAGAAAAGCAATTAGAGATTTAATTCTATGTAGCTGCCTCCTATTCAAAGCAAAACATAACACCTCAGTGCATGAATCCAACCTCAGGTTAAATGAATTCTGATTCTATCTGATGCTCTTATGTGGGTATATAGTTGTGGGTATAAAACAATTTTCTTATTGTTGTTTAAGACTAGGTCTTACTATGTATCCCTGACTGGCTTAGAACTTGCTATGTAGGCCAGATTAGCCTTGAACTCACAGAGATCCGCCTGTTTCTGGATCCTGAGTACTGGGATTAAAAGTGTATTCCACCATGTTTTGATCTATAAATAACCTTTTAAAAATGATAAATAGGTCATAATTATCATGTCCCCAATAGCAAAAAAAATAGTTTTGTTTATATTGAAATTTCATCAAAGATAAATAGCTATATGTTTACTTCTGCAAAATTCAGGTCTTATTTCAGAAAAGGATTGTAGGGTCTTTGGTCTGTGCAGTTGATTCTCCATGCTTAAGTGGTCATTCAGCTCCTTAGCTGGTGTGACTGACTTGGGTTTTGGCTCTGATTTTGCTCACCATTTGCTCAATGACTTTAAATGAACCATTTATGTTTCTAGACCTCATTTAGTTATTTTCTTTAAAAAAGAATATAGAGCCTGAGAGATGACTCTGGGCAAAGGTACCTGTCACTAAACCTGATGACCTGAATTTACTTTCTGAGACCCATATAGTGGAAGGAGAGAACCAATCCATTCAAACTGTCCCCTAACCTCCACACATTCACCACCCCCCCCTAAAGATACACACAATAAAAAAATGTAATAATCCTTTAAAAGGGATCTATTATTGTGTGCTGGCAATGGGGATGTAATGGGAAATAATATCAGTATGTTCTCTTCCCTTGTGGACTTGATACTATAGCTTCACTTGTTTGCTTTTTGAATGAGAAATTGAATTAGATAGTATCCAGATCTTTGATTGTCTATTTGGATCTTCTTTGTAGAAGATGATCAGAGAGAGAACTTTTCTGTGATTTAAGAGAATTTGTTATGCAAATTTTGGGGGAGGCTATTCTCAGGATTTGCTATGGAAGAGAAATGAAAGCCAATAGTTTGAGTTATAGATTTTTCTTACCCCTTTATTCCACTCTTGGAATGGTCAAATAAGCAAAGTCAAAAAGTTCCAGAACTTTAAAGCACCTTCACAAGAACCTGTCACACAGTTGAAAAACAAATCCATGTGTGCACCTGTGTCAGACTTCCAGCTGCTTCCAAGAATATCACTTAATCAGGAACTGAACCCAAGGCATGACTTACATCTTAGGAATCTCAACTCAGACTCAAAAATTCTGAGTGCATAGCTGTGGCACCCACAGAAGGTTACATTTTGCCTTTCAGGTAGAAAAATGTTCTGTTTCCCCATTCCTGAGAAGACGGAAATATTATTAAAATGTAAATTTTAAAACTTTTGGTTTAATTATCACCCCAAGAGCTCTTATACCTTTATTTGCCAAGAGACCAACTTTCCTGGAGATCTGTTCAGGTGTCTAATTACTTCATCTTGATTTCAGGACAACAGAATTATTCTTATACTCTCATTCTAAACAAATGCTTTCTCCCCCCCCACCCCAGAAAACAAGATTTTGGTGAAGCAGTTGCCCATGCTTGTGGCGCATAACAATGAAGTCAACCTTAGCTGCAATTACACCTACAACCTCCTCTCAAAGGAGTTTCGGGCATCGCTTTATAAAGGAGTGAATAGTGATGTGGAAGTCTGCAATGTGAGTGGGAATTTTTCCCATCAGCTTCAGTTTCACTCAAATATGGGGTTCAACTGTGATGGGAATTTGGACAATGAAACAGTGACATTCTACCTTCGGAATCTGCACGTTAATCAAACAGATATTTACTTCTGCAAAATTGAGGTCATGTATCCTCCTCCTTACATAGGCAATGAGAAGAGCAATGGAACAATCATTCATGTGAAAGGTAACATGCGACCATACTCTTGTACCCCCTCAAAGTAATGCTTTTCTATTGTAATTCTGAAAGTGAGGTTAAGATCAGTGATGAAGCTGGAGTACCTGCAAGTGATTTAAAGCAAACCATGTTTTAAAATGTTTTTCTTTTGCTTTAGGAATGATCCCAGGTTATATTTTGAACACCTTTAACTTCCCTCACTGATCTTGAGTGAAGAGTAAGGGAAGAAGTTACAGTCCATGGGAATAAATCATATAAGATTATTCTCAATTCAAGAGAGTCATGTGAGAAAAAGTTTGCCATTAAAATGTGAGTCTATTGCTTCTTGGCCTTTTGGCTAAGATCAAGTGTAAAATGTCAGTCTAGGGGTCCTCTAAGAAACAATGGGGTATAATGGATCAGGACTCAGGAAGAATTGGCTGTATTTCAAATTAATTAATTGGCTGTATTTCAAATTAATTAATTCATATCATTTATATTAGAACTGGCTGTATTTCAAATTAATTCTCTTTTTGCACTTCATGCTCTTCTACATTAGTAGCTTTACATTTTCCATAACACACAAATGCTGCTGGACTAGAAACTAGGGGATATGGGGTTTATGATCTTGGGTAAGCTGCCCAACTTCTTCATGGCCCCAAACTCAATATGATTAAATAGTATCCATGAGTCAGTGAATCTTGGAGTACTGTCCTTATGTTGAGATTATGTTCTACCTAAACATTGGGAAGAAAAACCATAAGATCCCCAAATTCAGAATACAGAGTTTCTGTATAACATAACATCAACATAAAATTGAGAGAGATCAGGTAGATGTTTCTGTGCCCATTACAGCTTTTCTTTTCTATAGAGCGATAAATGAGAAATGATATGTTCCATTTTATATTTAATACTAGCACAATTTTAATAAATATCTTTCTCTTATGCCAGAGCAAAATTCTTCTGGAGACCAATCAAATACTAAACAATAAAATAATTATTAACTTAATATGGCAGTGTAGCTTTAGTGTTCTGGAAAAAATGGAGGTAATTAATATGAGAATCAGATTTCTAATATCAAGAATGCCAAGGCAAGATATTTTAATTGGATTAAGTCAAAGGATAAAAAATAGACCATTTTGGAAGTTAATAATAAAACATTTCTCTCATGGAAAATGATATACTACTTTAGGCTAGTGTTTTAGATGTATGCATACACACATACATATAGTCTATCATTTATATTAGAATTGGAAAATACATCAGTGATCATGGATGCAGCAATTTTCAGCCCTGTTTGTATAATATAAATCTGAGTATGTTGAAAATAACTGGGCTCAACTTTGAGATTTTGATACAATTGATATGGTTTGAGAAAGAGGAGCTAGAAAATGTTTTCTATTTAATGTGTAGCCAGGTTTAAAACTTTATGGGCTAGAGTTATTGATATTTTTCCTACTTCTAATGTTGAGTGTGAACAGAACTGTATAGGTTACTTTCTGTCCCTTTCTGATACCAGATGTATAAACTGACTTGTTCAGAATCAGAAAATCTGTTGGAGTAGGAACCAGACATTTATCTTTTGATTTTCAGGTTAGTTTTCTGACTGTCATATAAGACTGATGATTTTCTTAGGGTTTGAAAACAATTCATATCATTTTACTTATTTCAAAGATACAGCTTAGTGCCCTCTAAGTGAGTTATCTTCTGACAGGGGTAAGGTGGTGGGGACAGGTTAAAGCCATTAAAAGTCATCATTTGGAATTATGTAATGGAATCAACAAAGTCCAGCAAATGTAACATCACCATGTGCCATGCTAAGGTGACAGTGTTCAACCTCAGTCTTAAAAGTTGATAAGGTTATGGTCAGTTGTGGGGTTGAATAAGTCCAAAAGAGCAAGATTATCATCAAAGCTGGTAATATTTTGTATGTTTTTATAACTTTCACATCTTCTGTGATATTCAGAAGAACAGAAATGTACTCGACTGCCACTCCTATGTTGTTTAATCCACTCTGTTCTGTTTTTCAGAGGAACATCATTGCCTTGCTGCTGAGCTGTTTTGGGCACTGGTGGTGGTTGGTGGACTCCTGGCTCTCTATAGCTTCCTAGTGACACTGGCTCTCAGTATTTTCTGGGTAAGAGGTGCAACATTGTTTTTATGTAACTTCTCCATAGCACATGTACTCTGACCACATCAAGAATTTTGCCTGCATGGTTTAGTCTCTGCTTAATGTGCCTAGTATTATTTCTTTCTCCCGATAGGCTGGAATAGGCACTGTTTCAGTTTGTTCAACTTTTCATGAGGTAATAATCTGATGTTATTTCTGTTTTCTAAAAGGCACTAAGTAGCCAGGCAGAATTAGAAGCTAAGTGGATAAATTAGGGTGGGAGATTAGAAGCAGTTAACTTCTCACTCCTATTTTTGCAACATAATTATGACATATAAAGCAGCTCAGATGCATACATAAAGTATAAAAATATAAGCCACTCAGGAAGCTAGGCAACTGAAGCCAAAACAGCTTTGGCTCAGGGTCAAAAATCATGAGAAACTAGGCTACTGAATTGTGTATTCAAACCAGAAGAAACGAGGTCTATTTCTTGCTCCTATTTTTTTGTCTCCTCTGAAACAGTTGAATTATGTGAGGCCAAGAATGGTGCTTCATTATGAAAGTACAGTGGGAAAAAAATTTTTCTGAGCTCTCACCGATGAATAGGGTTTATCAGTTTCTATAAATGTTCCTGCGATAAACTTGGTATAGTTTTCTTTACTTTCCTCAATGCCGAATTTTTGATTCAACATTTGATTCAACTTGAACTTTTTTGTTCGTTTTGTTGGTTTAGTTGTGTTTTTTGAAACAGGGTCTCACTATGTAGCTCAGTCTGGCCTGAAACTTGCCATGTAGTCGAAGCTGCCTTTGAACTCATTGTGATCCTCCTGCTTTAGCCTCCTGAATGGTAGAACTATGGGTGCCTGGATTTCAAGCACATTTTGATGAGCATATACATGATTAGGAAGGGACCACAACAGGATCTTTTTCTTAGAAAACTATTTCTTCATGAAGAACACACTATCTCATGTACTAATTTCATTTGCCTTTGAATTTTTCTAGACGTTAGATGAATAAATGATTCATTTCCTCAATGAGAAATATGTATTACTCAGTGAACTTAATGAATACTTATTGGATTGATAAATGGATAACCCTCATAAAGGCATAATTAAGAACTTAACTAAGTATTCAAAATGATACTTATCTTTCTGGAATAATCTATGTATTTAACTAAGCATGTATGTTTGGTGATTTCTGGAAGTGATGCCATGTGAACTCTTCCTACTTACTATAGCATTGGCTTAGGGGACAGGACAGCCATAGATCTAGTCATGCTGTTCTGTTATCTGCCTTAGATCCTCCTAAACTCTTACTAACCTATTGTCCAAGGTTGCGTGTCTCTATCATTCCCTACATATTTTTATAGTTAAACATACCTTAGACAGCAGGTGGCCATTTCTGAGACTACCCTTTGGCTAATCTATAACTACTACACAGTAGGGAACATATGGCTACTTGTTTCTGGGAATTCCTTATATCATCTTGGGAGTTTGCCTAGCTTGCCTTCTGTAAGTTGCCCATCCTGATAGGGTGATGGGGGTTAGTATAGCAAAATATTGCTCAAGTTCTGCCTCTGATGTTAATTGAGAATTCATCTTTTGGGACCTTGGGGTCTGCACCCTTGGTGTCTTTCATCTCTGTGGTGGTTGACAATGATTTTAGAATGATTAGATTTGCTTTCTCTAATCCCAGCCATTGACTTTCTTGCTTGCTACATGACTTTCCAGTTATCTTACTGAAAGCCTCAATTTCCTAACTAAAAGACCAAGAGCAGTGGCCCAGTGGGTACTCTTCTGGGAAAGGGCTCCCTGTGATATGTTGACCTACATCAAATATATTTACTAGCTTTGTGGAAAGTAGTTGTGGGAACTGCTCTGACTTTCAGTGGCCCTGAGAGTTCCTCTCATCATTTAAAACTTATGGTAAATAGGCATTAACTTGTCAGTTTCTAAAATGAGACACCAATTTGGTGGGTGACTGGAATCACCCCCCCCCAAAAAAAATAAAAGCAGCATCTCATTTTCAACAAATAAAACAACTCACTTTTCAAATCAGACATCATAGGAGTTTGAGTTTTTCTTTGGCAGTGCTAGTTTTTACTGAGGTTCATTTCCTTTGTCTTGAGAAAAGTTATTTTGGTGTACCTCACAAACTCACTAGGAATCGGGCAACTTTAGTGCCTGACATGTCTTGCCATCTGCGGTTATCTAATAAAAAAATTGGCTCTCAAACCCAGGTCTTATATATTCTGACCAAACAAAACAAATAAAATTACACTTACAGTTCGCAAGTGTAGAACAACATAACATTTTTGCTTTGGGTTTATCTTTTCCTCCTGCTGTTTAATCAGTAAGCACCTTGGTCAGCTAAGCATTTAGGGATCCCTGGAGTTTAATCATTTCCTGCATAACTTTCTGGGATCCTATTTTTGGCTGGTTAGCAGAGTGCCTTAATGAAAGTTGTTTTCTGAAACTTTCTAAGGACCTATGATGTCTAATATAGGCACTCTAGCTGTGTAGGGTTTGGGAGCAATTGCAAATCTATCTCAGTGCTTTACTTGATGTTGGCATTTAGGAAAAGAAAAAGGTTTTCTCGGTTAGGCTACCACAGACCCAAAGTCAATTCTCCATTCACTCAGCTGAGCTATAAGCCTATTTCCTTGCCTAGTCTAGAGGAGAGTTTTTTTTTAATGCTCTTCATTAATATGTACCACAATGTGTGGACAGTGTATGTTTAGATAGTATCTGTCTTTAAATTCCGTAGCTTCTTGACCACTTCTTTAAGGAAATTGCTTTATGTATGGCCTGTGTTTTGATGATTTGCACAGGAAATAAGTGGGAAGGCAGAGGTGGAAGGAAAGGCAAGGACAGAATGGCCCTAAGAACACCTTTGACTATTGAATGACACAGACACAGTTACAGAAGGTGTGTACTCTGTACACACATTCACATATATGCTGGGTGCCCACATATGTGGGCAGGCACTCTGGGTTTAGGATTGGATTCTCAGTCATCTCCATCACACTGCTTGATTCAGAGTCAGGGAGGGTGATACTAACTAAATCCACTGTCTGGCAATGGTATAGAGGTAAGCATGGAAACTGGTTGCAGCAGATTTTCATTATCTTTGTGTGTAATTTGGAGAACCCGAGTCATGACATCTTTATTATTGGGGCCCCTTTATAAGCTATGGTTTCTTTGGGGTGTCCAGAGGTGAGAGTTAGCAGTGGGGTTGGGGGGAGGGGTTGGCAAAGGAAATCCTGAAGGTTGGAGCCAGAATGAGAATGCTTCCCTGGGTAGCATCAGCAATGTTCTCTTCCATTTTTAGGCAGATATTCCATTGGTCGCACTCCTGCCCTGTTGTCAGTTATTGACAGAAAGGATATATATATATATATAATATCAGCTTACATGAATACCTCTATTTGAATAAATTAGCCTGTGAGTATACATGTTATCTTTCTTCTTAGTCCAGGAGGATAATCATCTCCAACCCAAAATGGCCAAAGCTGAATATATAACCTTCTCTTTCCAATTTTCTTTTCTTACTGTCACACATTAGATCTATGGATAAAACACCACCTTTCTGACCAGGCTTAAACCATTGGTTATTTTATACCTCTATTTGAATAAATTAGCCTGTGAGTATACATGTTATCTTTCTTCTTAGTCCAGGAGGATAATCATCTCCAACCCAAAATGGCCAAAGCTGAATATATAACCTTCTCTTTCCAATTTTCTTTTCTTACTGTCACACATTAGATCTATGGATAAAACACCACCTTTCTGACCAGGCTTAAACCATTGGTTATTTTTGGATATGAGCAAGGAGGAGTTAGGCAGTCTAGCAGGATTCATGCTAATTTAGTGGCATATTTTGTATCTACTGCTGTCTTATCCCCTTCTTTTTCATCATTAGACTGTTTCAATGAGGACTTGTAAACCTTGGTACTAATTTAGGCTAGTTAATATAGGGGCTGCTCTTAATATAGGAAAATATTTAGCAGTATCTCTGGCCTTTATTCTCTATATGCCAGCAGCATGGCTTACCATGTTTCCAGACGTTGGTAAATGTCTCCTGAGACAGGGGATAAAGGAACTCAAGATATCAAGGTTGTCAAGGGTGAAGGTTGAGAGATCCAGCTTGGACAACCATATAATGGCAGTGTCACTTACTGGCATGAGAAACACCAGGACAGAAATAAATCTTAGGGGAAGAGCTTAAGTTTCATTTTGCACATATTTAATGTAGAGTGCTTTTGAGGTCTATGCCAGAGATAAAAAACAATTTAGATGAGTAGGTGGTAACTGCAGCTAAGAATGTGGGTGAGATTTCCTGGGGAGAGAGGACAGAGGAAAGGCCAAGGGCCAAGCTGTGAGATTCTGAATGACAAGAGAAGGATAAATTTGCAAAATAGGCAGGGAAGGAGTGACCAGAGAGGTAGGGGTGAAAACCAGGATGTCACAGAAGGCAAAGAAGAAAAATGCTGCAAAAAGGAAAGAATAATCAGTATTACAATTGTTCTTGGGATCTGAGTGGGGTTGGTTCCAGGGCTTAAATATGAGAATGCTGAAGAAATCTCATTTAAAATGGCATTGTATCTGCATGGAACTTATGTACATCTTCCTGCAAACTTTAAATTATCTCTAGATCACTTCTAATATCTAATGGACTATAAATGGTGTGCAAGTACTTGTTTTATTGCATTAAGGAAGAATGCCGAGAAAAATTTTATGAATTTTTTGGGAACTGGTTGAATCTTAAGAACCTAGGAATATGGAAGATGGACTGTAGAATGGTGCTGAGAGTTCCAGAAGATGAGGACTGAAAGTTTAGTTGACGAGGAAGTTGTAAAGGTCTCAGGTAGGAGTGCATGGAAATGAGACCAGGCCTGGAGTCATTCACTCATTTATTCAGGAATTTTTATCATTCATGCTCAGTGTATCTATTTAATGTATCAGGCCTATGTGACTGGAAATAGGCATTGTTCTTCCATAATAGAGAATTCTGAATTTAAAAGTCTAGATGGCTTTCCAGTTTTGGAATTTTAGAAGTCATTTGTCCAACCGTAGATTTTACCGACACATTGACCTGACAATGACACTCCTAGCCCCCAGTCAAGATTTATAGTGGGTATAACTCTTGTGCCAGGTTCAATGTCATTCCTATTTCTCTGTCCCTGGTAGAAAGTCCTCTGGTGATTACTAAACCCTGGGCAACAGTGATGGATGACATTATTATCTTTATAGAAATATATACACAAAGGCAATAGGAGTGTACTTAGTTGTCCATAACTGCAGATCCTCATTAATTTGGACTCTACTGTTATAAACTTATGGCTATTTCAGAACCTGAAAGAACTGAATGTCCTTTTAAATTAACAGCTTATTGAACAAATGGCCAGTTTAAGAAGATTAAAATGAAAATGCTTGACCTATTTGAAGAGGAAGGACTTTCAAATGTATTTAAATATCAATACTGGCTGTGTTAGATATGTATTTGAACTCAAGGTTAAATCACAGCACTGAAAGAAGTGGATACATTTCCCTGCAACAGTTCCTTTGTTTGAGATTTCTCAAGTTGCTTTAGAAGAGTCAGTGCTTAGGTTTGATTAGTCACCATCCTGGTCCAAGATACACAAAGCATGCTGGTATTCAGGGTCATTTGGCAACTGATGTCCTGAATAATTATCCTGAAGTCTTAGAGCTCCTCCCACGACATTTCCTCAGTGTCTTTCTACACTAATGCTTTTCTTTTCAGCAGACCAAGAGCAGAAGGAACAGGCTCCTTCAGAGTGACTACATGAACATGACTCCCCGGAGGCTTGGACCCACCCGCAAGCACTATCAACCCTACGCCCCAGCTAGAGACTTTGCAGCCTACCGCTCCTGACAGGGACCCCTATCCAGAAGCCAGCCGGCTGACACCCCACCACCTGCTCAACACCACTGCTCTGGATAGGAAAGGACTGCTTCATCTTCAGCCGGTCACTTTTGACCCCTGATGGGACACCAACGCCAATTATTTTTGCGCATCTAGACCTAATATCAAGACCATCTTGAGACTCTCAAATGATATTAAGAAATTCCTGTCGCAGGATAAAATCCTGCAGTGCCACGATCCAAATTCAAGCTTATATATTTATTGACTTGATTGAGAAGTTAGAGTAGAAAACAAAAAGTGAGTGGATTTGGTTAGCCTTGAAAGGCGATTTTCAGACTGGTGGAGAGTCTCCTTTCTCACCTGCACATTTTAGTCACGTGAAGTGTGACAGCTGAAGACATTTTAGATGGAGAAGAAAGGCTAGAACACCATTCCCTTTGGTTAAGTGGGTATTTAGGAGATAGGAGATGAGAGAGAGAGAGAGAGAGAGAGAGAGAGATATTTTAAAATCATTAAAACACTGTTTTCCACTCATGAAACGAGCCACTTGGTGCCTGTTTAGTGTTGTTTTACAGTTAGTTTAGAAAGATGTAATCATTGTCTTTGATGAATTCTGGCCATTTTAATCACTTTGACTAGTGAAATTTCCTCAGAGCACTCCTAGGACTTGCTTTCCTCACTGCCTGTGATGGGAATTCACTATTAATATTCACAACATGATTCCAGAATTAACTAGCCCTCCCACACCAAGAAGAATGTGAGAGGAAATAAGGTCACTTTATGTCAAAAGTATCTGAATGCTATGAAGGATTATTTGCTTAGAAGCTCAGTCCAGACAAACCATGTATCTTTTGACTTTCCATAGTTGGTCCCTTTGTTGTCTCTTTACCCACAGAAGTGGGATGTGAAAGAAACACACAAAGGGCTGGTCATGATACTATGAAAAAAGGGCGTTAACATTCATTAGGGCAGCAGGGATGACTTCCAAGATGCTTCTTCCAAAGAGAGGAATGAGGCAGTTCTTGCCAGGTGCTGGGGAGGTGAACCCCTTCCACTGGGCATCACACAGAGGGAGCCCTGGTACAAATTCCTTTAAAGGGACTTTATTTGCTTTAGCGCTCAGAGCTCAAGAAGTCGGTGGGCTCAGCTGCTTTGTACTCTGGAGGTCCACTGACATGGTAATGTATTTTGGAGTGTGTCTTTAGGGACAATGTTAAAGTTCTCAAGAGAACCTACAAGACCTGATGCTGGAATAGCCCAGGATATATCTTTGCTTTCAGTTTGGGCCTACTGGAATATGTCTGAGGATTTTGAAGCTGCCTTTACCATTTGTTAATTTTTTGGATTTGGAATAATTCTTTGAATTATATTTTTCGGATTGTTGGAGGAGACGTTTTAGAGGCAGGTATACTGACACAAATCTCATTACTCATTGAATGGCTACAGGCAAGTTCATCCAAGTGTCTGGTTCGTCAACTATTAAATGGACATAATGATCACAAATGTTTGCTCCCTTACTATGATCTCCATGAGGGCATGGCCAAATCCATCTTTTTCTTTACTGTCCCTGGTGTTTAGTGCCATGCCTGGAATATAATGTTCACTTTATTGTTATTGCCATATAGATAAATTATGTATAAATATAGATTGAACAATGGCTTAAGAAGGGAGGGAATTTGTACCATGATCTTTTGCTATTGATTTGGTTGTTTGGTTTGTTTTGAGACAGAATCTTATTATGTAACTATGTAACCCTGGCTGTCCTGAAACTTGCTGTTGTAGATCACACTGGCGTAAAACATCCTGTCTCTTCCTCCCAAGTGCTGGGATTACAGGAGTGTACAACCTTTCCCAGTTCGTAACATAAAGTTAAACCCAAATTTATGACATATTATAAAATATGAGACTCTCTTAACGTCCATAATTTTCCTGTTCATTGTAATAGTTTACCCTACAATCAAATACAGGGCATTTCTTCCCTACTTTTTTTGTATATAAAGAGATCTTCTAAAAAATTATGTGGGAGGAGGAAGGGATATGATTCTAAATAGGAGATATTGTGCTCTGGTTGAAGTTCTAAAATGGGCTTCCATTCCATGTGTTTAATTAATCCAGGGAAGGTCAAGCTTAGCATTTCTTGTGTAAAGGACTGTTGACTTCACACTGGCGTGTGTGACTACAATCAGCCTCCTGACACAGAGTTCTTGAATTTGAGTTATCAGATTATATTTGAAAATGACAGAGCTGGAGAATTTTTAGAAAAGGCAAATAGCAAAAAATAAACACATTTTTTTTTTTTTAAATGGAAAGATTTGATCTTTGGTAATCAATGGCTTTATTCTCTGACTGGAAAAAGTTTACTGAAGATGAATCACACTTAAAATTTTTCTTACCTGATCTGAACAGAAGCAAAGCAGAGATGTCATACAGGCAAGTCCATTTTCACTATTAGTATGAACCAAGACATGATTCAAAAACAGTCGTTTAGAGTAATGCTTCTGCAGTTTCATATCTAGTAATTATGAAGAAAAGCATGTCATTTGCTGTTATTGTTGTAAGAGTCTTATAATTAATGGTGTGTCTTTAAGTTTTTGTAGTGAGCTCACCTATTTGGGGCTGAGCATGCCAATTTAAAGATTCAGTGTACTTTCTATCCTCTGTATCCAATGATAAAATTACCACACTAGTATGTGCCTGTTTTAAAAGTTGTACTTTAATATTATTTTTAGGACAGGTATGCCTCACACTTTGGCAATGATTGTGGAGACATTTTTATCTGAAAGAGATGTGAGATAAATCTTTTTATACCTCTGGGTTAGTTTTTTCCTTCTTTTTTTTTTTAAAGGCCAGACTTTCAAATATTAGTTTTACTTCAAGGAAAGTCAACTTTTAGTTTGCTAGGCTTTCATCATAGTTTTTCAGCAGGCCAATGTTGTACCTTTCTGAGATGTCAGGCTGGTTTACCTGTGTGCTATGTGTAACATGAACACTGTGAAACAGCTTTGACCCCATTAGTCTTTTGGGTCAACTAATTGAGCATGGCTATTTTAATGGGTATAATGATGGGCAATGGATGTCTCATACCTCACCCCAGCCTTCTGCACTGCTGTATAGTAACATGGTCCACAGCAGGCTTGAATGCTCAATCAAGTGAAGGCTGGAGATAGTGCCACAGGTGGACGTGGAATCAGGACACTCACTGCCATAGAACCACAATAAACCCAGGTAAAGGAGAATGGCATGGATTCTTTCAAAACTTTGGTGAATGAGTCTTTGGTGTCTGCAGAGGCAACTGAATCTTCTGAAATCTCCTGCATTGACATGTTTATGCAAACATCAAAGGCTTGTTTCCATATAACGGACTTTATACATACTATGTTCTCTGTCTAGAATGTTCTTCTGTAGATATTTACCTGGCTTATTCCTTTACTTTCTTTACATTTTCAAGTGTCACCCTCAACCCTAGGAAATTTCCCTCATACCTCATCTTCTTGCCTTCCTTATTTTTTCTCTGTAACATGTTACCATCTCTTACTGGATGTTTTACTTATTTATTTATTCATTGTTTGTTTTCCTAATAGACTGTGAACTGTATATGGGAAATAACTTCATTTGTTTGGTTTCTTGATGTATCCCCCAGTGCCTGGAATAATTTTTAGCATGCAATAAATATTTATTGCCCAAATAAATGAATTTTACATGGGCTTCTGAATTAATAGTGAGTCTAAGTGATCTAATCACACTATGAGAAGGAAAGATCCAACTCTATTTTCTGAAAAATATTTTATTATAATTTTTTTATGTGTATGAGTGTATTGCCTGCATGTAAGTATAAGTACACCCATGTTGTGCAATGGCCATGGAAGTCAGAAGAGGGCATTGGATTTCCCTGGAACTGGAGTCATGGATGGTTGTTAGCTGCCATGTAGATTCTGGGAATCGAACTCAGGTCCTCTGCAGGAGTAGCCAGTGCTCTTAGCAACTGAGCCATCTCTCCAGTCCCTGTTTTCCACTTTTTTTTATTAATAAGGCCCAAACTAATTTTATTAGAGAAATAAGAGATAAATCATACACAGAAAAATCTGGTAGAAGAAAATCTAATGTAAATAAGTTCATTTATATTTTAGATATTTTTGTGCAATCTGGAAAATGAATATTGTTAGAAAGAATCATACTAAAGAAAAAAATCACACTAAATAAGTCAGTCAGGAGTAAATTAATTTTCCACTGAAGTCCTCAAATTCTCTCTTACAGGATTACTGACTGTGCTGGATAGCTTTAGTGTCAACTTGACACATCTGGGTTGAGGGAACCTCAACTGGGGAATTACCTTCATTGGACAGGCCTGTGGCCATATCCATAGGGCACTTTCTTGATTGTTGAGTGATGTGGGAGGGCCCAGCGGTGCTATCCCTGGGCAGGTGGGCCTGTGTTGCATAAGAAAGCAGGCTTAGCAGGGGCCAGGGGAGCAAGTCAGTAAGCAGTGATCCTCCATGGCCTGTGCTCCA